TCTCCTTACTGTTTTCTCCAATCAATTCTATGTTATTCTGATAACATAATGCATAGAATGAATATAACGTTGTAAGTAAAAATATTCAATAAATTATTAAGCAGTTTATTGATATCATCATTTTTAATTTGTTTTTTCATTATAAAATGATTAACACGTAAAACAAGTATTATATAGAATGAAAAAGTAGCGCATAACGGGAATTTAATTTTACAATGTAAAGTAACTTAATAAAGCATAGTACATTAATATGAAGTTTGATAAAATAAACAATTATTCATACAAATGAATAATTGTTTCTTGTATGTATCTTTTATTGATATAGACAAATATATTTTTTAGAATGTCACCGGAACATAATTTTATGTATTGTATTGATTTGATGGCAGCCAATAGAACTACTTGGGATAAAATATTGGAATTATATCAAAAGACAGATCCAAAAGAGGAAAATTTTAAAACAATGTTGTTGAAAAGTTTGAGTTGCTCCGAAAATTCTGATATTATCATCAACTATTTAAATATTACAACATTTAATACTTTATTATTTCATGAAAAGGAACGTTCTTTTATCATCAAGTCTATTCTTGATAAGCATTTGAACAACACTTTGATCCTTGATTATATTTTAAACAATTTTGAAACTATAAAACCCAAGTAACACCATTTCTCTTTGTAAATAGTTGTAGTTAGCCTCAATCATAAAGATTTATTAATCATGAATATATTACTTTATCTTTATAGATCACTTACTACAACTGAGATAATAAAACTTATTCTTGGGAATGTTTTTTACGATAAACAAATCGATAAGGTATGTTTTACTAAATTTACATATTTATTGACTTATCGACTATCAAATCAATAAAGCTAAACTAAAAAGTTGTGGCGTATTTGAAATATAAACCATTTGTTGCGATAAATATAAATTATTTCAACATTATATATTATATAATTAAATTCATAATAACATTATAATAATTAATCATGTTTGCATCTTTAAACTATTTTTGAAGAATGTCACGTATAATCGAATAATACCGTGACGCGCGTTTTAAAATCTAAACTGAATTATGTATAAGAAATTATACATATTATTAAATATCTTCAATTAATCCGTTTCAGATGAAAGTATTCTCGGACGCTAATTTTGCTCATGATCCAATAACTCGGAATGCAATTAAAAAACTGATACAAAAGCGTGAAAATTTTCTTAAAAAAAGCCTGGAGAGTTTTAAAAAATACTTCTTTTAGAAGAACATCAACTGTAATGATCGATCAGAAAGAAATATAATACAAAACATATATTTAACTACCTAAACTTTCTAAAAATATTATTTTACTTATTACTGCCATTCTTGAATAATTTTTTACATATTTTCAATTATTTCTAACATTTTTCAATGCTGTAATACTTAGTAATTTTTAATAGAAGCTATACGATATATATATATATATGTTATAACAAAATTTATATGACACGTCAATTTTCTGTATTGAAAAATAATTCATATAATATTATATAATATGAAATGATCTTTGAAGTCATTTATAAAATATTTTTATAACCACTGTATTCTGATTATTACATTTGATACAACTCGAGCATATGTAATTAAATAAATAGTCTTTGTTGTTAAAAAATATAATACTATTTAAATATAATTTTTTTATAATAATATCGTTTATTCTAACAACGATACTTAAGCTAATTACAGTATTACTATTATTATTACAACGTATACTTGCTCGATTTGGAATAAGACATAAGTAATGACGTCACCTTGTAATGATAATGTAATGATGAGTTATCTGTAATAAAAATAGCTATATATAAATAATAATTATTATTATATAAATATAAAATATATATCTAAAAAACACATCAAGTCAAGAGAAAGTCAAAATAAGCGTACATCAAAATGACGATTTTTTTTTGTTACAATTAATCTTTGTGTGTTTCTTGGAAGCAAAATGCAGATTTTTAAATTATGTGTTGCGTTTTGTTTTACACACACATAATACACATTAATACATCATCCTATCTTTAATGTTTACCAATATTAGAGAAGGATAAAATAATGTATCATGTAAATCATATACATGAAACGGAATTCACTTCTAATTGTAATGTTTCGCTATGTTTGTCTTCTTCAAGATTGCCCTATTAAGAAGCAGATTGAAAATGTTCAGACTTTTACTCAAGAGTTTCCTTATACAGCACAGAAACTTGCAGTAACATTGCAGAAATGTTGCAATATTATAGATTGCGCTGTAATATCGCTATAATATTGTAAATATTAGAAATATAATATATAATACATATTAACATAAGTTTTACAAATCTTGCAACATTGTTATAGAGAAAATGTTAAAAAACATTTTGGCTTTTTAGTAATGAACTGTCACATGTGGAAACACATAAAATACACGTTATATGATTGTTAATTACTCATTAATTTATGGCTTCTGCACACTGGACGCGGAAACGTTTGACGTGTAGCAAGTGTTTTTACGTATAGTATGCGGGTGCCATTAGGAATTATAGTGTTCGTTGAAACATTTGTTGTCGCCGCCGAGCGACAAGATTTTTCAAATTTTATAATCAGCAGAGAGTCTGAATCACGATGCTGTTAATTCTCATACCAATCGCGCGCCGCAAAAAGCAATGCAGTCTACACTGCTGCATCGTTACAATCCAGAGGTACGTTCAGGAAATCGCTATTAGAGCTATTTGTATTTTATATTTGTTTACGTCTAATAAATGATAAAGATGATAGAATAGTATAAATAACTCGCGCCTCCCCAAATACACTCTATGTCTTCTAAAAGGAAAATTTGATGAAGTGTAACACAATAAATCATTCCATCCCTCTGCTAATGTTAAACAAAAATGAAATGATCACTGCGTTATAATGTGTCTCTTGCAGGACAGCATTATTTGCAGGATTAGCATAAGTTTAATTATTGTTTTCTGATTTTGAAATTCGCATTTTATTTAAAATTTTGTTGTAAGATTAACAAGAGCCTTGACGTCCATATTGTTCCATTAGCTAATGCATTCTGCTCGGTTCAGATTTAACAACAAGATATCCAGTTCAATCGTCGATATAAGTCGTTACTGAGAACAAAAAAAATCTCATTGTCAATTTATGTGGACATATTTTATATTGATCCGTCCTTGTAATATTTACTTAACACATTCATTATAACATCCTATGATATTAAAATTGTAGAGTCAGTATTTGTGAATCTTTTGAGGTGATAACACGTAACTCGCAGTTATGCTAATGTATTTCTAATATTAACATCTCATTGCGATAATTGTAATTAATCAATTGTAATTATTGGAATTTAACAGTATTTTAATCAATAGATAGATGTAATACAAAGAAAGTTGTTGAAAAAAAAAAGAATTTATGTAGGTATTTATGTCTTGTTAAAAATATAAAAATATATTTATATAAAATATAAAATTATATTTAAAGAATGACAAATTCAAAAAAACTACGAAAGGATCCTATAATTTATGTAAAAAAAAAAAAACGTTTTTGGTCAGTTTGCTTAAATTATTACGTTTCTTGCAGTCCTCATTATAAATTGCAATAAGATACACTTTTATGATCAATTTCTAAGTTAAAAGTATTTAAAACATTGCAGATACGCATCGACATGGGATTTCTGAAATTATTATTAAATTTCAGTTTATATATAATATTGATCACAAACAGCGTATTTTGTGCCAATAATGATTTAAAAATTATTGATCGTTTACCCAACAATACATTACCACTTCTCTATGACATTTCTCTGATACTGAATCTTGAAGAAGGCAATTTTATTTTTCACAGTGAATCCAGTGTCAAAATTGAGATTCGTAATGCATCATTAAATAACATAAGTTTGCATTCTAATGAATTAGAAGTAAATGAAATGGCGACCACGTTAATTAATAACAACAACAGAATTTATAAACCGATCGAACATTCCTATAATAATGTCACAGATATTTTAACATTTAATTTCAAAAATGTTTTATCACCCGGTTTGTACATACTTAATATGAAATTTTTTTGCCGGCATTATGTCTGAGCATAGTATTCACAAATCTGGTTTTATGATATTTCCGTATACAGAAAAAGGAAAAAATAATGTGTAAGTATAAAACATTGAAATATTAACAATATAAACTTATAAAATTTAAAAATACTCGACATAACTTACTACTTAAACGTTGCAAATTTTTTTGTCGTTCCGGCACATTGAGAGACACAAATTAAATTTTTCATGAATACAAATACCAATAAGCCAAATATAAAATCAATTCATTATTATTTCACAATTTCAAGGAAACTATAATGACAATCCTTAGTGACCTTCTTCGAAAAATAGGATACTTAGAAAGTACTGATGATCATTATATTATGAAGCAGGTAAGACTGGAAGCCATAAAATGGGCATGTACACTCGGTGATGGGTTCTGTAAGAATACGATCGCCTTTAAATTAAGTCGACATCTTGCGGATCTTGAACTTTAACTTTTAAGCAATTTTAGCTATTTCATAAATTGTATTTGTGTGTGCGTGCGTGCGTGCGTGTGTGCGTGCGTGTGTGCGAACACGAGGCATGCATATCAATATAGCCAAAGCATCCTCATTGTTTTCTCTCACTCAACATTCTATGTTATTCTAATAACGTAATGCATAAAATGAATATAATGTTGTAAAATATACATTGTTAAGTGACATTACTCATAGAATCTTTTTTCTTTTGTTTCGTCATTATAAAATGATTATGTAACAAGTATTATCAATAATAGTAGCGCAGGACGAGAACATTTAATTTTACAAAATAAAGTTGCGTAATAAAGCATAGAACATTAATATATAATACTTGATAAAATAGGAAATTATTCATATAAATTAAATTATTATACATATAAATTAAATGTATATATCTTTTCTTGATAGAGACATACATACTTTTTCACCAAGGCATAATTTTATGTAATGTATTGGTATGATGACTGCCAATAGGACTACTTGGGATAAAATGTTAGAATTATATCAAAAGACAGATCCACAGAAGGAAGAATTGAAAGAAATATTGTTGAACAGTTTGAGTTGCGCCGAAAATTCTGATATTATCATCAATTATTTAAATATTATATTCAACACTTCATTATTTCATGAAAAGAATCATTTTCTTATTTTCAAGTCTATTCTTGATAAGCATTAAAAAAACAATTTTATCCTTGACTACATATTGAACAATTTTGAAACTGTAAAACCCAAGTAATAACATTTCTTTTTATAAACATAGTTTTTTCAATCATAAAGATTTATCATGAATATATTATTTTGTCTTTATAGATCTTACTACAATTGAAGTAATAAAACTTATTCTTCGAAATGTTTTTTATGATGAACAAATCGATAAGGTGTACTTTATAATTCTAAATTTACATACTTATTAATTTATTGACTATCATATTGATAAAACTTTAACTGTGGCGCGCTTCGAATAAAAATCATTTGTCGCGATGGATATAAATTATTTCAACTTTATATAATTCAATTAATAATAGTATTAACAATTAATTATGTTTGCATCTTTAAACTATTTTTGAAGAAAATCACATTTAAAAATCGAATAATACCGTGACGTGCATTTTAAAACCTGAACTAAATTATGGTATAAGAAATTAAACTTGTTATCAAACATCTCCAATTAATCTGTTTCAGATAAAAGTATTCTCGGACGTTAATTTTGATTATCATCCGAAAACTTCGAATGCAATTAAAACACTGATAGAAGAGCGTAAATATAAACTTGAAAGATACCTAGATACTTTTAAAAAATGGTTTTTTTTAGGAGGGCATCAACTTTAATGATCGACTCTTGAGTTGATCAATCAAAAAAAAATATAGTACAAAACATACATTTATCTACATAAACTTTCTAAAAAGATTATTTTTATTTGTTACTGCCAGTGAATAATTTTTTATGTATTTTTAATTATTTCTAATATTTTTCAATGCTATAATATTTATAGTAATTTCTTAATAGTCTAGAAGCTATGCATATATGTATTATAACAGAATCTATGTAATACGTTAATCTTCTGTATTGAAAAATAATCCATATAATATTATATAATATGAAATGTTTTTTGAAGTAATCAATATTTTTATAACCAGCAGTACACTGATTATTATATTTAATACAGTCCGAGCACGTGTAATTAAATTGTCTCTGTTGATACAGATGTAACATTATCTAAATATGATTTTTTATATAATAATATCGTTTATGCTAATAATGATATTTAAGCTATTTATAATAATATTATTATTACAATGTATAGTTACTCGATGGAATAGAAGAAATAAGTAATGTAAAAGTCACCTTGTAATAGCAAATTATCAGTAATAAAACTAGCTTCATTTAAATAATAGTTATTATATTATTATATATAAATATAAAATATAGAGGAAAGCCCCTTATTATGAGATAAGTGCCTAATATGAGATAGCGATGTATCTGCTAAACTAATAAACGCTATCTATTGGTTCCACCATGAATTTATTGCTCTTGGATTGAAAACTATTTAGTAGAAAATTTATTATTAGATCATGCTCGTAGTCATTGTAAGCCTTATTTATTATTTAATATATTATAAATATTTAGTAATAAATTCTTTATAATGTAATAATTAGAGTAAGATCGTACTAATAGAAAAATACGAAACATGTTAAATTGCTTAATTACAGAAGTTAGATTTGATAATCATAAAACCGTAAGGCATAGAAATCGTATAATATGAGATATCCAGGGTATTTCTAATATGAAATAAACCATTCTCCCATGTCATAGTAAAAATCGTTGCTAAAATATAAATGTTATTGTACAATAACAAAAAAGACAATCGGAATGAACGTCAAGTGCCTATTTCTGCGATGCTTGATTTCAATTACCTGAAGATGAGTTCTGGATATAATGTATCGCAAACTGATTTTTCGCGCAAGCTAGCTATGTTTGTTTGTATTTAAGAAACATTAAATAAAGTTCTTAGTTGCAATACTGATATACTTTGCGTTTTACTATCGAATTCTCGGGACAGCTCATATTAAGAGCACAATTTTTCGACTTTGCGATTTGCTCGACTTTTTACATTTCTTTAATTTTTAAAAAAATTGGAATTTGAATTAAATTTTATATCATATTATTTTAAAGCTTATTAAATTGCCTTCAAAATGATTTATTATTCTTTCCAAAATGACCTATTATTTTTTTAAATTGTGCCTATAAATTTCTAGCATTTATCCAAAATGAATTCAATATCTCATATAATAATAGAGACCTTTCTTCTATATCTAAAGAACATATCAAGAGAAAGTGAAAATAGACGTATGTACATGAAAATTATTTTTTTGTTACAAAATTTGACTCTTTAAGCATTAAAATAAAGTCATTTTGCTGTCATTTTGATTTTTATTGACTTTAATTGTTCCTTGGAAGAAAAATGCTAATTATTAAATTATGTGTGCGTTTTGTTTCACACATAATACATATTGATATATCATTTTACCTTTATGTTCACCAAATATTAAAGAAGGATAAAACAATTGATACATCATATATGTAAGTCGCACTTGAAACGAAATTCATTCCTAATTGTAATGTTTCGCCATGTTTGTCTAAGTTTAAGATTATCCTATCAGGAAACAGTTGAAAATGTCCAGAGTATCAATCATGAAACTTTATCCTTAGGATGGAAAGTGAAAAGTGAAAATTTTAACCATTGAAATTAATGAAGAAATTTTTCACTTTTCACTTTTCATCCTAGGAAAAAAGTTTCATGAATTATACCCAGACTTTTATTTAAATAGCTACAGCACAACTCTTGCATAATGCATAGTACATAAGGGAAATCAACCAATCGAAATTCTTCTTTTCCATAGAATGGGAGGAAAGGAAAGATCCTGATTAGGAATCACCATACCACCATATATTTTGTATTTTACACAACTTGTATAGCCGCATAATCATATGCATAAAGAAAATTATCTAATCACATTTCTGTCATAAAGGCAAACGTAAAATACGATTGGATGATTTTCTTTATGCATATGTTTATGCGGCTATGCAAGTTTGTGGAATGGCTCTTAGTTGATTCGTTTATGCACTATGCATTATGCAAGAGTCTGTGGTCTAAAAGTCTCTAGACTTTCTAGTGAATCAGATGATATAACAACGGAATTCTAACCTAACTTAACCAAAACATAAAATTGTGTATGGTTGAAATTGTGATGAAAGTGATTTGTATTTTCCCAAGTTCTTAGCTATAAAAAATGGCTACTGTAAAATTCGGAAAGCACTTGAAAGAGTTGAGGATCCTTCTTTGTCAAACATCCAAATCTAGTCAAGGCGTGAGGTAAAAAAGTTGTACGATATAGACGGATGTTCTGTCAGCGATCCAATTTAATTTCAGTCTGCTAATTTTTGTGTGTGAACCTTGCAGAGACTTCATCGAGCAACAGTATGTACCATTAAAAAAAAATAATCCGAGATTTCCCGTTTTAATCAGGGAATGCTCGTCGATTGAGCCAAAGCTGTATGCACGTTACGGTATGTAAAAATCTAAAGACACAATAGTTACGTTTCTTTAAAAAAACGGAATGAAGAAACAAGAGTGCTTTCCATTTAATGACACATTTAATCAACACAAGCATCGTTCTGTCCTTCTTGATATTCAGAGAGTGACATAGAACAATACTTGTGTCAATTTGTGTCAAATGGAAAGCACCCATAATCGACAAAAACGGCTTTCTATCCTTGGCATTCTGTGAATAACAAAATTAGAATGATATTTGTGTCGACTATGTCTCCTAAATAGAAAGCATCTAATATCAAGTTGAAGTCTAAAATAAAGTTGATTTACAAATTGTTTACATTTGTTTTTCTTTTTTCCAATATAAATATTGTTTATTTAAATATTGTTCTATTATTCACTCCACATAGTGAAATAATTTTCATAATTTGCATAACGTATACTATATTTTCGATACATGAATAATGGAATGCAACTTTAATATAAATTATATAATCATAATCCCTGTAAATTACTAATTTTGCAGAATGTGGCGTAGAACGTTGCATGCCTCTATCAAACCTGAAGTCCGAAGAGATACTTGGAAGGGTTCAAGAATTGGCATGTCAAAAATAGATATATTTTATTGTGTTAATCTTGTATGTATTATAATATGTATAGTGTTTTAATAAAATAGTTGTATTAAATGAAAGAAGGCATTGACAGGAATCTGTCAGATTTTGTCTGGTAACAAATTTTTTTTATCGATATTTATGTATATTGTACGTTAATATATGTATATGAAAGAACATGGATTGAACATAAAGATATAAATTAATTTATTAAAGATTTATTAATAAAAGATTTAATTAATTAAAATTTTATTTATTAAAGAAAAATTGCACAAAGAATTATCTTCTCAACAAAATATTTACGACAAAATATTTACTTTTTCTTTGTGTAATTTTTATACATTAAATAACTAATATTTTGTAGAATATGTGCAATATTCTTTACACTTTAAGACTCAAAGACAAGGGAGAGTTGAAAAATCAAAAGTATTATTTTTGCGATCTTATTTTTTTTTTAAATATTGCGGTGTTAAGTTTTTGATCGATTCGAAGAACTTTGCTAAGCATTATTATCACTTTATGATATTAAACTTTGTATTTTATTTTAAATTTTATCTGAAAAATAAGTCTAGGTCCGATTAATACTTTCTGGTCGTCTTTCTGGTCAACTTAAAAAGTTAACGTTCAGTAAATATAATCGATACATAAATATATCTATAATTGGAACTTCATCCTATTAATAAACATATGGGAGGGAACGAAGAATTATCTTTTGTATGCGATATGTGCAGTCATCGTTTTCGATTTCAGGCAGTAACTTCCATATGTTATATGAAAATATATATCTGCAGAAACATATTTTTTCTTTTTTCAAATCAGATCTATGTACATCAGTCAGACTTTAATTAATTAATGCTAATTAATGATTAAAACCTGCCTATAAAATATGTTATAATATTCTCTTTTGCAATCTATACTTCCTTTGTATATAGGAAGGCAAATGATTTAATTATATTTTTATGCTATAAATGGCGGTAGGCCGAAATCTTCTGGCTTGAAGTCTTCCAAACTTTCTAAGACCAACGTTGCGTTGTTGGTGAGGTGTTTAGGAAGCTGAGGATCTGGCACCATTACCACTTGCATCTTAGCAGCGATACCAGCTTGTACTCCATTCGGTGAATCTTCAAAGACTAAGCACTATATATAGATAAATAAATATGAATTTTGATTTAAAAATGTATATATAAAATATATATTGAAATATACAACAAACCTTTAAAGGATCAGGATTATCAGGGAAACGTTTTGCGGCAATTAAAAATATATCTGGATGTGGTTTTCCTCGGATGACTTCTGGGTCAGAACCACCATACACTTTATGATTGAACAGATCGAATAAGTGTTTCCATTTTTGAGTTTTTAAATCGCTACTCTCCTCGCTTGAACTTGTAGCTAATGCGATAGGTATATTATTCTTTTTAAGATGCTGCAACAACTTTTCTGCACCTACATACAATTAAAATCAATCAGAATATAATGCTAAATCACTTTCATCTTATATAATTTACCTGGCATAAGATTACATTGAAGAAATACTTCTTTGCATATAGGAGTGAGCTTATCTTCAAATGATTGCACTGTAATCGGAAGCTGTAACATTTCTATTAAATTCTGCAAAGCTTCAGTAGTTTTATTACCCATAATTTTCGCTTTATGCTCCCAGCCATACGTTTTCCCATATTCCTGAGTGACATGATTGTACGCCATTGTATATATAGATTCTGTATCTACATTATAAAGGAAATCAAATAAATTAATATAAATTATTTTAAAAAATGCATTTCTGCAAATATCTCAATGTCACGATCGCCAAAAGGAATTGATGTCATTATAAAAATATGTCATCACATTGTACAGTAGCACAATGATACAGTGAAATGAATTGAAATAGATTCAGATTTTCAGAAATATTGATTCATGAATGTTAAAATAAATGCTTTTCAATCCTGAATGCATTTTTATTTAGTTATAGGAATTGCATGGAGTACATCTCTATGCCTTTCAATCTAAAAATAATATTACTTTTTCTGTGCATTATGAATACTGTTCAATTCAAAATTTTGAATAAAAAATACAGTTTTTCAATCCAATTGCATCCAATTGAATCTAATTGAATCTAATTAAATTCAAAAAAAAGTATTCGCTATTTAAAATACGGATAGAAAAAAATTTCAATCCATTTTAATCCATTCTCGTTTGCTGGATCAATTAATATTGAAATCGTTATAAAATACAAAATTGTGTAAATATTATTTATAACACACACAATCCAAAATGTTCTTACCTAGTAATAAACCATCCATGTCGAAAATGCAATGAGTGACATCATGAAAATCCATTCTAATCACTGATTCTTTTAGGTTATCTACGGTATAATCCGGCGGAATTCTTATAAGGATCTCTTTTGTATTTCGAGTAATACGAGAATTATTATTCGACAAAAATAGCAGCTGCCCGAAAACGCACGTTATCAATGACGTAATGTTTCAAATTAACGGTTCCGCTCCGTAATAAAAAAAGCAGATGTTAATATTTATGCTTGCGCAATCAGATTTCGACACATAGATACGGTATTGAACGATACGAGTCTCCCTCCCTCTCGATATCTAGCATTAATCCTACACGTGATCTTCTATCCCTGATAGAGAACCCTCTACTGTCTAGTTATCGAGCAAAGAAGAGTAAGATTCAATAATTGATTTGATAAGCAATAAAATGTTTATACTAATATTGCATAATGCATAAATTATGTAAAACTTGGAAACAAAATTTTAGATATCGTAAAAAGTCACAATGAGAACACAAACATTTGTAATGATACATGAGTTGGGGAGATAAAATATACATTTTTTATTACAAAAATTTTTACGAAATGTGTTCACCAAGTATATTTGATAATTAATGTGATTAAACAAGTGTATATATATATATATATACAATGATCTAGTATTATCAATACTAATAATGGTACAATATAAAACGTATATAATTATTTTGTCTGATTCTATACAAAAGGCTGATACTATTTATGTACTTATGCATTTAACTAGTTCCCATGTTTTTGTTCCAATCTTTTAGCTTTTAGATTCTGTGAGGATTACATGCGAACTAATTATTTAAATTATAACATATTTAAATAATTATTGACTTTTCTGTTTGCATGTCTAAACAATAAGTATCTTATTTTTAGACCGTAAACCAATTTAGATATTTAGAAATTTTATATTGATTTAATACGTTATTGTCGCATGTTTTCCAACTTTAATCAATCGGCACAAAAACATAGTCGTCTTTATTCAAGCTTCATCTTAACTTTTACCTATGTTGAATTAAATCATTTTCCGTAACATTAGGAATGCTGTAAAAGTTATACGGCAAGTTCGTTGGCAAAAAGTTTTGTAACCCTGGCACTGGATTGAAATATGTGTTTCGATCTCTGAATACCGTTTCTTGGACAGTACTAGTGACATCCGTTTGAAAAGTCTGAATAGCAGTTGTTGGAATAGCTTGGATGACTATCGGTTGTGATGCTGAAGCATGAGGAACTGCTTGTATTACCTGTAAAAATACAACATTAAAATGATCCTTTGCGTTAATCAAATACCTGTAAATTATCTAAACAATAAGATTTGCGCTTTCTCATACATTTTTCAATTAAATATAGTCTATCTTGAATGCAGTGTGATTTATCTTATATTTTTTTCAATTATTATTACTTTAATTATTATTGCTGTACACACATAAAATAGAATATTAATTCAACACCTAAATGATAAAATTATGTGCTACTTAACTTTAAAGGCACTTAAATATCCATTATTTGAAAGCTTCTAAAAAAAATTATAAGAAAATTTGAATCCAGTAATTCTGCAAAGTAGAGAATATATAGGATGCTGCTTATAATCTTTTTCTCATAAAAATTACAATTATAATGAAATAAATTTGAAAACTTTGACCCTCTCAGGACCCATTGTAATGCAATAAAACAAACAATACTTAACAAATAAGAAAATGTATATATATTAGGTGTTGGAATTAATTCGTAGCGTTTTTAATGAAAGAATGTTATTTATTTCACATGAGCATTAAAAAATACATTAATGAAAGTACTTCCCATCACTTGTAAAACGCTACGAATTAATTCCAACACCTAATAATATTATAAAAATATATATGTATATGTAATATTATAAAAAATGTATATCTACTTGTACTGTCGTTGATTCTGTTTGAGGTATTGGAAGTGGATCCTCTTCAGCAGACTGCTGTTGTATCGGAGTCTGTGTTTGTTCGGTCGGCTGCTGCTGTTGCAATTGTTGATTATTGGTTAGATGCTTAGTGTGAGAAGTATTAATTCCATGTCTACGTTTCATGTGTTTGTTATAATTTGGCCAATTCGTAAAATGATGCTGACACTCCAAACAACTGTACGGACGCTCTCCGGTGTGTTGTCGCCTGTGTGTCTGCAAATGTGAGATAATCGCATTAAATAGAGCAAAGTGTAATTAGATTTCATAATAATAACTTACAGTTAATATCCCTTTAAAACGGAAGCACTTTCCACAGAATTCACAGGTAAACGGCATTGCACCGGTATGAATTCTGTGATGTTCTCTCAAGGTTCCTTTCTCTCTAAAAGTTCGTCCACATACAGCACATTGATGCGGCTTGGCACCAGTATGTACTGTTTCATGTTTTTTCAATTGTAAGGGTGTTTTAAATCTGAAAGTTTATACTCTTATTTCAAAATCCCGAATTTATTTCTAACTTTTATTCCACCAGTTTATCATCTCATCATAATGATGATGATATTTTTATGCTATTCTGAAGTGTATTAAATATAAAAGAGGCAGCTTCGTTCAAAATTTCATTCAATTGTACATAAAAAATATATATATTAAAATTTTTAAGAATACCAAAAAAATTTGTAAAAAAATTTAAACATATAATATTAAACTTAAATAATAAAGAAATAATATAATAAACAAAATAATAGCTATAATAATTACATACGTTTCAACTTCAATCGGGTCATTATCAATGTTACAAAATATAAAAATAATTTTTTAAACAGTAACAAGAAGTGTTAATTTTTTTAAACAGTTAACAAGAAACGAACTAATGTAATTTATTTGATTGTTCTTAAGGTCTTTATTTTTATATTTTGTAACATTGATAATGATCCGATCAGAGTCGAAATGTATGTAATTATTATAGCTATTATTTTGTTTATTATATTATATTATTATATTATGTTTATTATATTCTTTATTATTTATGTCGTTGATTCTTTGCCATCATTTTATTCTACTCATGTTTTATATTCATTGTTTTATACATATAGAGCCTTACTTTATTTTTGAATATTAAATTTAACTATAGACTTAAGGAAAAAAAAGAATATTATATTTTTACTTACGCTTTTGTACATTGAGAGCAATTGTATGGCTTATCTGGTGAATGAGTTAAGAAATGAGCTTCTAAATTTCCTTTCTGTATGAAACTTTTACCACATTGATCGCACGTGAAGTTTCTGACACCAGAATGAATACGTTTGTGTGTTACAAGATTTGGTTTTGTTGAGAACCTAAAAAAGTAAACTTTTTTATTAACGTATAAAAATTCTCTAAAATGTGTAATTTAAAAAAAATAGATTATACCTTTTATCACATTGATCGCATGGAAATCTATTCTTCATAGTTTCAGGTAAATGGCATCGATTATGAATACATAAAGCACTTTGCTGCCTAAAAGCTTTACCGCAAGTTTGGCACACATATGGCCGTTCCTCGCTGTGAATTGTCTTATGAGAGTCTAATACTTTTTTATGTACAAATGATTTTCCACAATCGTCACAGCTAAAAATAAATTAAATTGTATTAATATACGAATATATACAAAGTTCTTAAACAATCCTGATATAACAGCAAATAATTTTTACCTGAACTTCGCTTTATTCTTATGCCTTTTAACATGAGTAAGAAACCCATAATATTTATCATAAACCTTACAACATTGCACACACATATACTTGGCTTGCTGATTATGCACCATTTCATGATGCTCCTCTAATGCTTCTAGAGATGGTAATTTGTCATTACAATCTGTACATAACCAAGGATATCTCTCCAAACCTTCTGTCTTTTTTCTTCCATGCTTTGTTGGGTCTATCGTTCGTGTTTCTCTTATTTCTAAATTTGATTCTGTCTCTACTTTAAAAGTACATATTATATTAGATTTACGATAGATCGATATAGTCATTAATTACATATACATATATATACATGACAATTTTTAAGAAATAAAACAAATAATAAAAAAAAAACACATTTTTTATAAATTAATCTTACCAGGCATATAATTATCTATGACTTCATTTGCGACATCATTCTGTTCCTTGTCTACTTGAGAAGGTATATCAAGCTCAGATTCTTCTTCAATCTTTTGTATCTGACCTTTTTTCTTTAATTTTTTCTTAGTTTGTTTGGGAGAGCTCTTCTTTATCTGTATCTTACACTTCTTCTGTTTTGCATTATCTTGCATTTCTTGAGTTTCGGAATTCGCGTTTTTATTACATCCCTCAATGAAGTAAGAATTATTCAAGATATTGACTGTTTCATTGATATAATTGCCAGATAATTGACATTGGATAATCTCCTCCTTATTGTTAGCTTCATTCTTTGGAAACTCTACGGTCTCCTCAACACAATCTATATTTGGTTCGGTCGGTTGTGGTTCAGACTTTGGATCTATTAGCAATTGTTTCAGAGATATTTGTGCTTGATTAGTCTTCTCAAAGAATTCATTGCACTGGTTCAATGAATCACAGCAGTCTATGCAAACCATGAGTGGCAAGCCATCTGTTATTACAACCTGTGCAATCGTAATAATTATTACAAATAAAAATATATCAGAAGTAATATAATTTACAAAATAAGGAAATTGAGTTTACAAGTAAATTATTTCTTAAATAAAAACTATAGTTTTATTATTTTAATGAAATATAAACTTAAACATTATCTTTGCAAAATTTATTAAGTTTCTAATATTAGGTGTTGGAATTAATTCGTAGCGTTTTACATGAAAGAATGTTATTTATTTCACATGAGCATTAAAAAATACATTAATGAAAGTACTTCCCATCACTTGTAAAACGCTACGAATTAATTCCAACACCTAATATAAAAGAATTATGCATAAAATTGAAGTTTGTTTGACCTAACATCTCTATTTTTTAAATTTTCGAAAAAGACAATTTTCGTTCAAGAATTAAATAAATTAATGAATTTTAAAGAACTTAGATTTCTTGGATATAAAAATATAACAAAATAAGAGGATATATTGAATGCATTCCGTTTCATGCATGATGTGCATAATGTTATTATTTTTATCTTTCTTTAATATTCGGTGAATAACAAGGATAAAATGATATATCATGCACACTTGCGTGAAATGGAACTTACATATTATAATATATTATTTAAGATTTTTATTCTTAGTATTTAAAATTAAGATATTTATTCTTAATATTTAAAATTTTTTCTTTCAAAAAGAAACTGTGTAACAGTAGTTACATTCAATAAAATACATTCTCATCTTCTTAGATCAGGCAGACGAGGAAACAGAGCTGCCAGTTGACCGTGATAACTGCATGTACCTGTATCTGCAGGCATTTCGCGATCTTGGCCTCGATCGCGAGCTTCTGGCCTTCGGCGTCGTAGATCCCGATGAGACTGTCCTTGGTCTCGGCGCATAGCCGGCAAAGTTCCGACTCCGTCATCGTCGTACAATGCGTATGCAAAGTCGTCGCCGTCGTCGTCGTCGTTGTACGCGAGATCGTCGTACGCCGTCGTCGACGTAGCGCGTGGACGCATCGCGTTTACCCCCTAAGATCGTATACGTCGCGCGCGCATCATCGTATCGCGCCGCACGCGTAGTACGAGATCCCGGGGACCACACCGACCCGGGTCGTAGCGGACATGTTGTATCCACGCTCGTGCAACGAAGGTACCGCGACCACGGGCGCGCTGGCGATGAGAGGCAAGGCGACTTGTTGCTCCTCTACGCGACACACCGCTGATCGACGGGCCGGATTACTCAGCGATTATCCACCTCGTCCCCGGAAGCAGGGAGTAAAACGTCGCGTGTGTCCGTGTATTCCAATATACTCCGCAATGGTCCCACGAAAACATATACAATCGTCGGAGCGTTTGTTTGGAGTAAAAAAAACATTAGACTTACGAGTGCGCACGCGCATATGTTATCCGGCTGGTCGATATAGTTGATGACCATATTTACTGACGGTCGGTAATGTCGAGTGTGATAATAAAATTGTTTTGAAAAATTAAACATGACTGTTTGGAAAGTAGAGATTATTTGCGGATTGAAATGGATCAAATGGATCATGAATGATGTTTTAGTTGTTCCACATGGAAAGCAAATTAAACAATAGATATTGATTACACGAAGATTAATGATTTATGATACAACGGAGATATATACATAATAAGCAATTTATTAAAACAGAAATTAAATTAGTTGGCAAACATTTTTTTTCCTTCATTTTGTTCTTATAATTTTGTTTTTATTTCAATGAAAAATAAAAACAATTTTTTTATTGTCTTTTTTTATTAAATTTGATGAAATGATTTGTTAAGCAAGTATCACTGCTAGACTCATATACATATAGATTTTGTCTACTGTCATTTCCCAGCAAACGAGAATGGATTAAAATGGATTGAAATTTTGTTCTATCCAAATGCGTATTTTAAATACCTTTCTTTGGATTTAATTGGATTCAATTGGATTCAATTAGATTCAATTGAATTGAAAAACTGCATTTCCTATTCAAAATTTTGAATTGTACAGTATTCACAATGCACACACAGAAAAAGCTAATATTATTTTTAGATTTAAAGATATTTTTAGATTTAGAGATATACTCCATGCAATTCTCTATAAATGAATAAAAATGCATTGAAAAGCATTCATTTTAATATTCGTGAATCAATATTTCTGAAAATTTAAATCCATTTCAATTTATTTCAATCCATTCTCATTTGCTGGGTTTCTAACAAGGACTCGGACCGAACCGAAACTGAATGGAGCAGAGTTTCGTTCCCTTTTGAGCGTCACTTTCATTTCTAACGGAAAATGGAGCGATACTTGTACTAAATAAAATAACGGTTACAGTCGAGTTATCGATTTCGATTTCGGCCGGTCCGGGTCCCTGTTAAAAATGACAGTGGACAAAGTCTATTAAATGTTTCAAAACTTTAAACGCGTTTTTCTCGAAATCGTGTTTTCGAATATGGTGATCATGATTCTAAAAAACCTATTAGTCCGATTTCTACTTTTACACTCGGAGAACATTATCGCCTGAACTAGAATTAATAGTTTACGTTATTTTTTTCTATTTTTTTAGAAGATCAAATAAAAGGAAAAAATAAGTAAAATTCATATCATTTTTTCAAACTGTGAATATTTTGAAAATATGTATGTGATATTAATTATCCTAATTCAGGCGAGAATTGCAAGTCCACTCATTAAGAAAAAACTCCAATTTTGCTTCCAGACCAACAATATCACTTTTACTTTTATCGCAGTTTGACTGTGTTCGCAGGTCTAACTTCAGTACTTATTACTATTTTATAAAAAATAAACATTAAAAAAAATTTTTTTACATGTATGCACTTTCTACATCTGTTATTATTTTTAAAGTATACTTAAATTTTTATTCATTAAAAAAATTTTTTAAAAATACCTTTAAAATCGGCTCTCAAATGTATAAAAGACTCCCTTAAAAAATGTTTCTTTCAATAAACGTGAATTTTTATATGCAATTTATGCTTATTATATTATACCTTTTTCTACAATAAATCATATCCATAATCATAACAAAAAAAAAACTGAAATGTAAATAGGTACGGTCACCGTTGTCAATAAAAGAGCTGAAATCGCTTGGATTTCGGACTTTTCCGATCCGGGATCGAAAAAGATCGAAATCGTAATCCGATAAAAAGACCAGAACCGGACTGAAACCGAAAATTGAATACAACCTCTGACCGTGACTGTAACCGGACTGAAATTTTATTTCGATCTGAGTCCCTGATTTCTAATATCTTGTCTTACATGATGTTATATCATGTATATTATTTAAGCGCATCAATCGAGAGACAAAGGAAAGCCAATGGTCAATTTTATTTGATAACAAAAGACATTGAAATTAGCGCCAATATGTCTATATATTTTTAATCGTTTTTTGAAACTCAAATTATCTTTTCTAAAAAAAGAAACTCAAATATCTTGTTTTTAAAATTATTTCTGAGTTTAAGTTCATACAGACAACTTCAATAAGTAACATTTTTATTCTAATTCTAAATTTTTATTCTAATTCTAATTGAATTTTTGTAGAGTGAGAATTTGCAGAAATTAAATGTTCACACAACGAAAAATTCTCAGGATCTAAGAATGAAGCTCACACAAGCCAATCACGCGCATTAACATTTATTTGATGGTCCCATAAAAATGTCTGGACGAACCGCTTAAAATTCAACGGGCGTGTTAGCGAAAGTCTACGTTTTCTCGCAAAGTCATCATGTCAAACGCAGTCAAACGGTCCTGCTGATGATCGTGCCGTTAATCAATTCTACATATTTGCGGGTATTGCGGAATGTATGCTTTTTCCGAGAACTTTTGACGCAGCGTTATTTCAATTTTCATGCTTTCGTGTACTTTACTCCCCTTTCACTCAGCATTGGCAAACAAAGATTTTACTTTCCACTTTTCATATAATCTGCGAAAATTGAACTTTAAAGAATAATTTTGTTTTGAAATGTGAAAATTAATGTTTCAGTAGAAAATTCTCTTGAATTATTTTAGAGAAATTATATATTATCTTCAGACTCTCGACTTTTGAAAGTCTTCAAAATTTGTTTTTTTATTGGACTTTTTTATTGGGATGTATGGCGCTGCGAAAAAAATTATATCATCAATTAACACTTAATGATTCTTTAATATAATTGATTCCTATACATATACTTGGATTCTGCGAAAAACTAAAGGCAAAAATCATATTAAAGAACCACTAAGCACTAACTGCAGATTAGTTTTCTCTGCTGAACGCAGTCAATGTAATGAGAAATAACCATTAATTACACAGAGGAGTACAAAATTTTTTTTACCTAAAAATAGCAGTATATAATCCTGAAAGTTTTCGACATGTTAAAATCAAATCCATAACCAAAATTGTTCCATCGCGTCAAGTTTCCGAGATATTCGAATTCAAAAGGCCAAAAAGGCCTATTTCGGCATTTTTAGATTAAAATATCTCATAAATCTGATGTGATGAAGTAATTTTGACTACGGATTAGAATTCGGCATGAAAAAATCTATGAATCACTTATGATTATAAATGGATAAACAGTAACATGAAAAAAAATTAAATATATTGCGACCTTAAGGCATTTCCAAATGATATAGTCAATGTATACGTCAACTTTGCACGCATTCATTAAATATTGACTACATTCAATATGAATAATTATTCACAGTTTAATTAACATACAAATAAGTGAAAATCGAAAGCAGACATCCGAATAATTGTGTGTTTAGAAACTATCGTAAGGCGCAAAGAACTCGGAATTAGAACCATATCAAATTCAAATGATGCAATGGTTCTGGGTTTTAAATCTCTTCGTGGTTGCAATAACTGTTCTATTCATTTTATTTTTAGAAGTACATTCTGCAATCCAAATGTCATTACGCGTATTGTCCGCTTTCATGTTCGCGCGATTGCTGCCGCATGGCAATAACAGAAGGAAAGTTTTTTTTTTTTTTCTTTAAGACAAGGCTGTTCCAATATTCCATATTTTTTGGAGAAAAGGTTCTTTCCGTATCGAGGACGGAAGAGTTTTTGAGCATCACTTGAAATATCATCGGAAATATATCTCCATGCCCAAGCATGGTCCTCCTTACACAAGAGAGGAAGAAAGGGAGGGAACGGGGTTCACGAAACGTACAGCGTCAAAGTCTTCGTGATGGGCGAGTCTCTCGAAAACGTTATTCACTGGGTGGTAAAAGTACTGACACGACGTGTCCTCCTTGTGTATATATAGGGGTGCCTGCCAAGAAGGCATTGCAGTTCTTTGCAGAACGTCTGCAAGGCAACAGTGGATATTCGTTCTTTTGACATTTCTTTGGTGGAGACATTCAACCGCTCAATCATTACAATCAATTACAAGAAAAAAAGGTAAATTTAACAAGGAAAGCACTCGATCGCAGATGAAAATTGGTAAATTAATTTAACGTGTAAATAATTTAACGTGTAAATTATGCAGTTAAAATTATATTTTGATGATTTATAATAAGAAGTTAGATTACCTCAATTATTATATCATTCTATGTAAAATATTAAATGTTAAATTTCAAATTATTACGAATTAATCAAATTATTACAAAGTAATTTTAATCAATGTAATTAATATTTAAAAAATTGCAATATTTATATCTAACATTCAGTAAAATTATTGAGAATGGATTCTGTATAATTGATATTATATTTTAATATTATTATTTGCAAGAAAAATAATATTTACTGACACTAATTGAAGTATTTATGTCACACAAAAAAAAAGCTGATTGAGCATAAGGTACCACCCTATATAATTTTGGCATCACGAAACCGGTTTAAGAGTTCTGCTTCTTCATGAAAGTTCGGACATTTATGTAAATCCGCAGATAATGAAGAAAGCACTAATGATCACAATAGGCTAAATGTAAATTTCTTTAAATTAGAACGGATTATGGAAATTATATTCATGCACATTAATTTCATATTTCTTTAGTGACCGTGGCGTAAAAAGAAGAAAAATGATAACATTCATACTTCTTACTGCTTTGGTGACGTTGTCCTCTGCCCAATTTCAACCACAACCCAGCGGTCGAATTCTAGAATCACCGAATCCAGCACTTTGCGCGCAGAGTAAGTCCCATTTTTATGTCAATATTATTAAAAAGCATAAAAGTCAACGCAAGTTTGTTCTGTAGCGGAAACATTTATATAACATAAATTAAACATTTCATAACAAAAAAATATAAAATATAAATTTTGACCATATTATTTGCAGTTTTTTGATCTAGAAAGAAATTATAAAATTATATAGTATATCAAAATAATAAACCATACCTAATTAAATTATATCGTTTACTTTTCGCACATTTATGTATCATTATTTTAATCTAGCTAAGGAACTTGAAAATAACTTCTAAAAACATTAAAAATTTTTTATCCTTTGTATAGCCTTTAAATTTCTATATTGCTTAGAAATGAGAAAGAGAGAGAAATGAAAAAAAATGACGTGTAAAATTAATTTTTAAAAATATTGTTTAAAAATTAGAAGTAATTAATTTGATGCTGTATTATTCTCGGCTGATAGAGGAAATTGCTGTTGTCATTATTAATTTTATGCTACTAGATTGGTCGTAGAAATCATCATTTAGAGAACCTTTGTTGATCTTCTACTTAGATAAGTAATGTGTTCCCGCGATGCTTAAAGATTCACGCTGGAGAGAGTCTTCCTTATTCCTGTTTCCCTTCACAATTGACTATCCAAGAAGATTGTTTATCCAAGAAAACCTCGAACTAGAGAAAGTATTTTCAATATTTATTATTAAAGAGAGGCCGTGACCCATAATCCTATGACGGAATTCTCCTTCTACTTTGATTTTTTACTTCCTACTCTGCCTCGGTCCGCTTCGAGGTCATTGTTTAACTCTTCAGCCATCCCCGTCCAACACGTCCTCTTACATCGATCTATCGTTAGTTAACACCATGGCTAATTATACGTGCCCATCCAGCCTTATACCTCGCGTCTTTCTGGGTTCACGCTCGTTATAGAAAGTGTGACGATGACACCGACAGCAGTATAACCCGAACGCATTTGAATTGGAAATGTCCTCGTCCTCGTAAGTAGTACGGAATGTCGGTTGGCATTTTCATGTTCATCGTTTTTTGATTGGATCGAAATGGTGATAATATATCATTGCTAGAACGTTCATGCTTATCTGCTTTGGAATGGAAAATCTTTTGGGAATCAGTCCAGGTTCTAAGCTACATTGTAAACAAAGATAATTCGTAGATAAATAAAATTTTCCTTTTTTCCAAGAATATAATCTTGAAATCTTTTGGAATCGGTTCCCAGATTTTGATCAAGAATAAGAAATCTTTTAGGAAACTTCCGGTTCCTAGATTCTGATAAGCTATATTATTAATCAAAATAATTCGTAATAAAAGATTTATCAATCGAGTTTTCTACTTTGAAGAATATATTAAATATATCCCAAAAAAGATTAAGTTTTATTTAAATTATTCCTGTTTTTTAAATTCTATTTTTATTAAAGATAATGAAATAATTTCAACTTATAAGTTGAAAGACTCCTTTCATTAAAATTTTAATTAAAATTATATCTCGTATTATAAATATAAACAACCTGTGGTTGACTTTTATGGAGTCGCCTTGATTATATATTATTTTCTTAATTGTCTATTTTTATTCATTTTTCATCTTTATTAAAATAAGATGAATTTGTTTTCTCTATTCCATATAAAAATCTTATAAAAAATCTAATAGTTGAAGAATTAAATCATAATACAAAACTATCTGAACATCATCGTCGAGCTTTTAGACTTCTAAGACGAAAGAATGTGGTATGTACGGAACTCAGATAACCGATTATTCATTCATTAGGCGTAGCCTATCCACGCGTTCCAAGACACGCCTCATAAAAAACTTTCTTTTTCTTTATTTAGAAAGTGACGATGTAATCAGCATACTATACGGGTGCCAATGTCTAGGTCGTGACTGTGGTCCCCTGAGGTCACCATCACGACTGACACTAATTTCGTAACTTTCACTCCGACTCTTCCCGGTAAACTCTCGCGTTCAAAGATATTCATAAAGATTATGGCCTATTGTCTATTGCCTATCTGATTTGCTTCATCTTCTAATTACGGTTTTTCACAGGAAGCATCCATCGACGATTCAATGGAAAAGGCTATTACTTCTCATGGGCCGATTCGAGGACAACTGGACAGGAGGTAGATTGGCTGTCTGGTAGAAACTTCTGCCGACAACGTTGTATGGACCTGGTTTCGTTGGAAACCTCCGCCGAGAACGAGTTCATCAAGAGCCACATCGTTCAAAGTATGCATGATTCTGCAAGTTGAGACTGTATTTGTGGAAACAAAAACAAAGGATGACGAAATGAAACGTTTCTCTTGTAGACAACATAAAGTACATCTGGACCTCCGGTCGTCTATGTGATTTCAAAGGCTGTGACCGGCCGGATCTACAGCCTCTTCATATCAACGGCTGGTTCTGGACCGCCGAGTTACAGAAGCTCGCGCCGACCAACGATCGTAGCCAAAATGACTGGTCTGAGAGTGGCGGGTAAGACTTATTATTCGCATTATAACGCATTCTTATAGCATATATCAACCTGTAATTTTGTATGTGAAAATAACGCCTATTAGAATACTTATATCAAGATGAGCCAAGAGAGTACAAATGCTACTTTCATTATTGAGATCAAGGATGTCGAACGGTTGTGATTAGATCTTTTTCTATTCAGTGTAAATCCCTGTTATTATCTGTTCTGTAATCAATGATCTCTGTATGTACACGCATATCAATACTCAGGGTATATCTAATACTCAACTTCCTCAAATATATACGACACAAAATAACAAAAACAATAATGTATGTATCTCGCAAGAATTATTGTGGACAATATGTACATTTTTAGCATCGGCAAACCGCAACCTGATAATCGTGAGGCTCTTCAGGGCGGCGCTCCTGAAAATTGCCTTGCAATCCTCAATCAATTCTACAACGATGGAGTGAATTGGCACGACGTGGCATGTCATCACAAGAAACCATGGGTTTGCGAGGATAACGAGTCTCTTTTGAAATATGTTCGCTTCACTAATCCTAATATTCGTATATAATGGAAAAAAAACTAAGCAATGACAGCTTTATCTTGGTTTGAGCAGGTTTAAGCATATCTATAAAGTTACAACGTTCAAAAGCGCATCTATATGACACGCCAGTGAAGCGACTGAATAGTATATAGAACATCTTATTTATTGTATTTAATACTTCCATACTCTCATTTGCCCAAAAAACATAAATTATTTAATGGAAATTTTATGAATGGTAACTTCAGGAAATATCACTATTTATATTCCTAGATATAATCATAGATACACATGAAAAATTATATTTAATAAAGAGACTGCAGTTCAAGATTTATAGATTAGTTCACTTTATTAAAAAATTATATATTCCTAAAATATTATACTAATTATATATATTCAGATAGCAATAAATTTATGGATGAATAATTTGACGAATTTATTTATTATTAAAAAACATCATTTTACTTTATATGTCAATTTATGGCAAGTATATTATCGGGTTAAATTATCCTGACTTTCTTCATGTAAAAATTCAAGATATGTTTATTACAATAAGTATCACAGATGTTTAAAAAATCAATACCTAAATGATATAATATATATTTACTCCATCAGATATGTAACAAGACAAGGTATTCACAAAAGAGTTTAAAAAAGTTTTGGCAATTATTTTTGATTACTTTTTACCTTCCACCATTATGATGTGATACCCGAACTTCGTTTTTACCGGTGGATCCGTATAAACTGGAGATCCCAGGCTAGAAACTGGTAATGCAAAGGCAGCGTCTTGGAAAGGTCCCACCATGGAACCTCGCGTCATCCAACCAAGATCACCCTTTAAAATAATGCATTAACAAAAGATTTATAATACATTTCCTCTCCAATTATTCATATATCAAAAGAATATAAATATATTCTTTGTGTTACCCCAGATCTGGCTTTGTCCTCGCTGTATGTTGCCGCAATCTCATTGAATTTCTGACCAGCCTTCAACTTCTCCAATGCCTCCAATATCTTGGACTGTTTCTCGCACAAGATATGTCTAACCTATGCTCAGGGAAATAATTGCATGACGTAAATGACATAACAGTCAATAATAAAAGTCTATTTATATACAACATTTGTAACTGGAGTAACCAATTATTGAAAGACTGATTACATATGACACACACGTCGCTATCAGATAAATTCCAAATATGTTAAAATACATCCTCACCTTCACCGAAGTTCCTCCTTTTTTCTCTGTCTTCCCACCGCTGCTCTCCTCCGAGGATTTTCCCTTGCTGGACTTCGCGGCACCGGCGTTCTTCTTCGGCGGCATGATCGCGTGCTATCGATGTAACTTCGGGTTACGTCAGTCAATACAACGGAAAACAGCTGGAAACAGCATGTTTGAAGATTCAGTGATAGCTGTAGATAAATTTTACGAATGGATAATCGGTAGTGCCGACATAACCGACTATCGATGACGAAGCTTGAAATTCAGCTGTCGAACATGATCATGTGATATATAGAATTCAAGGTTGGGAGATAAAGGAGAATATAATCACGTGTATGAGTCGATTTTCAGTGCATTTCAGTCCAACTCCGGTCTAGGTTGTGATCCATTGTGATCAATAACGCAACCGTGATATATTATACAGCCTAGATACATTTTGAATCTTATATTTGCTTCCCTTTTTATTTCACATTTGTATTTTGCTTTAAGCTTCGCGTTCTGTGATAAAGCGTGCTTCTGTATCCAGCAAGAACCGGCATACTAATTTTATAGATTAATCTTGATATCAATTAACGCTGATAATAGTGGTAAGTAAATTGAAATCATTGTGTATCATTTAAATAGTCACGAGATGGTAGCGTTTGCTCGGCTTTTTCCATAGTCGATTTGCTATCATGTTTATGACAAATTTCGTTATTTTTGCTGATAAAGTATTTACTGACAAAGTTTGTAACAAATCTGTTTTCGTCAGATTCTGGGTTATCACATTTTCTTCTATATAGTTCTATTTCTAGAACATTCTTGAACTTGAATTTAATTGTGCAAGAAAAACAAGAAAAAAAATTGCAAAAGAAGTAACTTATTTATTTCCACATTGATATTTATGTCTCGCTGTTAAACTTAATAACGAAAATACATATAAGCTTTAAGATATCTTTTAAAGTATTTAAGATATATTTAAATGCACATTTAAATATCCAAGATATTATAATTAAATATTTAAGATATTTAAATATTCAAGATGTATTTATAAATTTAAGATATTTTTTAAATATCTGAGAGATATAATTTATAAAAAGTATTAAAAAAAATCATTCAGCATTTATATATGACAGATAGTACATACAATACTGTATAAAACAATCTTAATGAACATAGGTCGAAAGCTTGACTGTTTCTGATATAAACATTTTCTTGTATGTTAGCATTATGGATAATTTATTTCTAGCTTCTACAATTTCTAGCTTCTCATTTAATTCCTATATTCATATTTCATCATTTATATATTTCATAACAGAAAATTTCACTAACAATAAATCATTTGTTATCAACTGGCAGATGTATATTATTTGATGATTACACAGTTATAACTGCCTGAAATCTTCTGTTATGAAGTATTTATGGAAATTGAATGGACATTTAGGATATATTATAAACACTGAGATAAACATCACATGAAACACATTGAAGCCATTAAGAAATCATTCATGATGCTAACATATAAAAAAAAATGTTTATATCTCAGAAACGGTTGAATTTTTGGTCTATGTTTATTAAGATCTTATATTCAGTGTTGTGTAGTATATATCTACCAAATAAATGATTTTTTTAAACATCTTTTATATTATTATAATTTATTACAGCTAATTTTTACTTGATTGATAAACAAAAGAAGACTATATAATGGAATTGATACGACCAGACCGACCATCTAAATGTACATATAAAGTGAATGGGGAAAATTCGCCACATACGAAACAAACGGAGTAAGTTTATCATAACTGAAAGCTTTACAAAGAATTTTGTCCATATAATTTACACATCTTTTCGCAATTGCACAATATCCATTACAGCCTTGTGCTAATTTTAACAGAAGAAAAATTTCACCACATGCTTATAGATATCAAAATTTATCAGTAGACTACACAAATATGTGTTATTACTACATTGTCATGAAACAAGAAGAGAACATTATAAAATTTGTCATAAATATTGCCATAAACTAATGTGAGCTATGCAAATAAACATGACTTAGATAGTTATTGTAAGATATTAACAGGTATAATAACATGTTTGCGTTATTTTCTAGGTTTCCAAATCGTAAAAAAATATTGCCAAACATTTTAAGTACAATTGGCCAGACACCTCTCGTTCGACTTAATAAAATTCCCAAGGCTCATGGGATCAAATGTGAAATGTGTTAGTACAAATTTGATATTATATTAATTATATTTTATAGAATAGAAATTTTCTTTAATAAGAAAAATCTGATGAGAAAATTTTTATATGTTATACAGACGCTAAATGTGAATTCTTTAATCCCGGAGGATCTGTCAAAGACAGAATAGCGGAGAGAATGATTTCGGATGCGGAAAAAAAGGGTCTAATAAAACCGGGATATACCATCATCGAACCAACAAGCGGAAACACTGGAATCGGTCTAGCCATGGCCGCAGTGGTCAAGGGCTATAAATGCATCATCGTGATGCCAGAGAAAATGTCTAATGAAAAAGTCTATGTGCTTCGCGCTTTGGGTGCAGATATAGTTAGAACACCGACTGAAGCTTCTTGGGACAGTCCGGAAGCGCATATCAGTGTGGCCCAAAAATTGCAAAAGGAAATACCCAATAGTATTATTTTAGATCAGGTGCCTTATTCAATATCTTCATTTCAATATCTTTCTTAAATTAAAGAATGAAAACATCCTTAAATTAATGAATTATATTTTTAATATAAATACTATTAAATGTTACATATAGTATACAAATCCTGGTAATCCATTGGCGCACTATGACCAAACTGCAACAGAAATTTGGGAGCAATGCGACGGCAATATAGACTATGTGGTACTTGGTGCCGGTACTGGAGGCACTATATCCGGAATTGGACGAAAATTGAAGGAATTATCGCCTAATGTAAAAATTATCGGAGTGGATCCTAAGGGAAGCATTTTGGCAGAACCACCTGAATTAAATGAAAACAGCGTTGGTTTCTACGAAGTAGAAGGAATTGGTTATGATTTCATTCCTACCGTTTTAGATCGTAAAATGATTGATCAGTGGCAAAAAACTGAAGACGACGAATCTTTAAAAATGGCGCGAGAATTAATTAGGGAAGAAGGATTGTTGTGTGGCGGTAGTAGTGGTGCAGCACTCGCGGCGGCGTTGAAAGTCGCCAAAGACTTGTCTGCGGATAAACGTTTGGTCGTTCTCTTACCGGACAGTATAAGAAATTACATGACTAAATTTGTGTCAGATCAATGGATGGAAGCTAGAGACTTTTTGGTAAAGTTATAAATTATACTTCTAGAATATCGTAAATTTATTGTAAATATTAAATATTTATTAAGTTACAATTTACTTTCAGGTGTCCGAACCTTCAACAGAAGCAAATAAAAAGTGGTGGAACTTACCAGTATCAAAGTTATCACTAAAGAAGCATATATTATTAAGAGGGATGTCATGTCAAAATGTTATAGATTTTTTGAAATCCTCTAATCACATTCAGCAATTGTTAGTAACTGATGCGAAGGAAACAAAAGTGCTAGGCGTTATCACATTAGATGCTCTTCTATCTCATTTAATATCCGGTACGGTGAATGGAACTGATTTCGCTGAGAAAATCATGACTAAACAGTTTACAAAGATCATAGCTTCTACGACAATCGGTAAAGTGTCGCGTATCCTTGAAAAAGAATCTTATGCTGTGGTTGTAGACGACAATGATGCTTTAATCGGACTTGTAAGTCGAAGCGAAATTTTTGATTTTATCACTAAGGATGATTGACATGTTGTATGTGATCAAGATTGTCATTTATATTGTGTATATTCATAGATAATTAAGATTAATTAATTACGTCAGGAAGTTTCTTCTTTTTTAATATTGTGTTTGATGCTATATTCTTACATTCGTATAAATTGGAAATTATTTACGATACATAATGAATTGTCAATATGGAATTTATACATCTATCTAGATGTCGTTTTTAAACTAATATGATTTTTCTTAATGTCTTTTATGGCACATTTATACATTTTAAGTATATTTAAGTTATACTTTCTAGTAATTTTGTAGTAATTTTATGAATATTTACCAATGTAAATGCAAATACGAACAAAATACAGACGAACAAAATAAAAAAAAATGTGAAACGAAAATCGTTGTATAAATGTAGACATATTAATTCTTTATTTTTCATTATATTTTGGGATCGGAGCATAGTTTACAAATGGATATAAACATTATACAAGATGAATATCAGAAAGTGTTTCATCCCTGGGAATATTAATATATTTTTTCCACTAAATACAATAAAAATATGACATGGTATGATGAATATCTAGTCATATTTCCTTATATTTCACATAAGAGATTTGCTATATATGTACCTTTTTACACTTCTGTACCTTCTTATTTCTTGAGTCGTCCAGAATGGCTATTAAATCTTTTGAACTTGAACATGGAACTTGCAGCTTGGTAACGTAGTAGTTTCTGCTGTGACAGTGCTAATAATGCCAAGATTCGCTAAACTACCTCGGAGAAGGCCACAAGTGAAAGCCAATAGACGAGGGCTCTCCTTGAGGTATTGCTTACTATTGCTCGTACCAACTTTATCTAGCAACCTAAAGGCATTGTCTTGCAACACGTACACTCCGTGATGGTTAGTTCTGAGATTATCGATTTGTTTGTGATACAGGCTAGACCAGAAATCTGTGCAGATAAACTTGATCATGTCTAGCTCGTCCTTGAACCTACTCCACTCTCTTGTCAGTCGTTCAATAATTCTATATCCAACGCTAAATCCCATCCATTCTAAACGCGAGAGCTCCTCCTCACCTTCCTATTGAAAATAAAAAAAAAAGAGTTCTTTTGTGGTAAATAACAGGACTATGTACTATTCTCAGCTAAAAGTAAGTTATATGTACTTGTTAGTTATAATTTCCTACTCAACACAATATAACTATAATATAACACAATATATTAGATTATAGTTATATTGTTGAATAGGAAATTATAATTAATAGGTACGTTACATGTAACTTGGTATTTGCTGGGTTACTCTTGTCATGATCGATTACTCACTGCATTAGACGAGCAAGCAGCATTAGATGTGCCCGTAGCATTAGACGATCTGCTCAAAACATAATTGACCAGCTCGGCGTGTAAATATTCGAAGAGACAGTCGTCTGCTTCCCCGGTTGAGCTAGGATTCGCTTTGGAATCAATTATCTGTTGCTTCATCGTTGTTCGACGATATCGTTTTGGCTCGATTATGGATAGTTAATATTTTCTTATGTAACTTAATGTATAAATGTATCGTTTACAGAAAAAAAAAAGTTAAACAATTTGAACACACAATCGTCAACTTTTTTTAGATTGTTAATTAAAGAAAAATTGCTTTCACTGTGCATCTGACTGCAAAATTTGCTTGACGCATATCACGAAATATGATAAAACATATGATATCTTTGACAGATTCGCGCATGCGCTGTGAAGCGATTGTATGATAATACAGTGTACCACAATGGTAACCATGGAAACTGTAAAGCATGCTTATTCCACGCTGCAGGATAATCATATCGTACACTGATAATTTTCTTTTTACATAAAAGTGTTTAGTTCACATAATCACGTTAATCTTCCTTTCATATATTTATATTTAATAAAAAATCTTGAAAAGTAAGTATATTGAGTTTCTGTCGATTATATTTTATATAAAATATTATGTATTTAAGTATTACATTTACAATAATAATCATTAATAACAATAAATTAATTAACAAATAATTTTGATTATATTTTAATTATTTAACAAATATACTTTTAATTATTTTATATAGTTTAATTATTTATATTGATTGATATAAGCGACTATTTTTATACAAGAGTAATAAAAAATATTTATTATTCGTAATTTTAATAATATGAATTGTTGAATAAAATAGAATATGGACAAATATATTATCAATGGTCAAATCGGTGAAGGAGCGCAAGGCTTAGTCCTGAAAGCGCACGACTCATCTCGAGATCAAGAAGTAGCATTAAAGAAAATCCTGATTAAAAAAATTGAGGGTGGTCTACCGACATCCATCATACGCGAAGTAAAAAGTCTGCAACGACTTAAGCATCCCTATGTAAACTTTCTTTCATCTGATATCTTCTTAGCTTTCTTCAAATCAAGGAAAAATTATATTTAAAGCGTTTACTGTAATTTTCTGAATTAATTCAACGGAATTTGCATGCATTACCATTTGTTTGCAGATCGTGGAATTATTAGATGCTTTCCCAAATGGTTTAGACTTCATAATGGTGTTTGAATATATGCCAACAGGTCTCTGGGAAGTATTAAGAGACTTCGAGATATCTTTGACACTGGCACAAATTAAAACGTACATGAAAATGTTGTTGGAGGGCATAGCGTACGTGCATAGTAAAAATATAATGCACAGGGTACACAACTTTTTATTTAAAAATAATTCAGATTCAAATGTATGTAATCCGAATCTTTTACAATGTTAAAGAGTTTGGAATCGCATTTTAGGATTTGAAACCTGCGAACTTGTTGATCAGTGAGAAGGGTATCCTGAAAATCGCGGATTTTGGCTTAAGCAGATTGATGTGGAAGGACGGTACAAAGCCGTATTCACATCAAGTCGCTACACGGTGGTATCGAGCACCGGAACTGCTCTATGGAGCACGTTATTACACGTCTGCGATCGATATTTGGTCGATCGGTTGCATATTCGGTGAAATGTTGAACACTTCCCCATTATTTCCAGTAAATAATTCCTTTTCCATTATATTAAATAAATTATTAATCCATATAGCAGTATCCTGTTGCTTGTAATTGCAGGGTGAAACTGATATCGAACAATTGGCCATTGTTCTGAAGTATCTGGGTTCTCCTACGTCCGAATCCTGGCCTGAATTAACTTCGTTACCGGATTACAACAAAATTACCTTTCCTTATCACAAAAGCACATCATGGGAAAATATTATTCAAGATGCTCAGCCGGAAGCTATCGATCTAATCAGGCAAATTTTGATTTACAATTCATCGAAACGTCTCACAGCTGAACAGGTAATATACAAAATTATATAATGACATATAGATAATGAGGTATATAACACAGAGTTATAAGATCCCTATTATCCTCGATTTTTTTATTAGTAATTATTATTTTTATACTGTTCTTCCATAACTTACATTTCATTAAAGAGAAAGCAAAAGAAGATATAGACATAACATAAATAAAAATAAGAAATTATTGTTGCAGGCATTGTGTCACACATACTTTTACTCCAAACCATATCCCTCTATGAAGACTCTGATAAAACCACCATCGGATCATCGTCTCCACGTAAAATCGAAAGAAATCAATCCGAATGTGCAACCAAGCACGCTTTTTGAAAATCTTTTAAGCATTGTATAACGATGACTGGTATGATATATATTAATAGTATGTTATTGGTACAAATAAAAATATTCTTCATAGAAAAGATTAGAAAATCCTTTAACAATTTTATTTAATTTAATAGATTTTATTTAATTTCCATTTCTGTAAAGCGCAAGTATTCTTCTGAATACTTCTGGATTGTATCCTTCGACTACTGGTCTACCATTATCATATTCAGCTTTTTCATAAAGCATCAACGGTGGTAAAGGACACCAGAAGTTCTTTACACTGACGTCATTGGCGTCTAACGAATTGAGTTGAAATATGAAAAAGTGATAATTCTTTCCATCTGATTGAATGCATTGCACAGTCACAGGTTCTGGTAGTTTTTTCACGGATGAGCCAAACTTTTGCCGTGCACAGGACGCCGCCATGGTGTACGTTTTTATCAAAGTGCGACTAAAAATCTGACTCTGTGTCACAGGTAATTCCGTCTTATTTTTCACACGAATGGGATCGTAATGCACAAAAATAGTGTGGACGTTTATCCAAGGTATAGTTGAACTGACAGCTGTTATTAATATACTTATGATATTAGAAATATATTGTTTTATATATATATATATATATATTTAATGGTGTAATGCAGTGGTTGCATATTCGGAATATCTATTTCCATATTGCTGTTAGAATTTTCTATTGGTTTTAGAGAATTTGCCGACATGACCGTCACATCTGAGCTTAGGGTAAATTGAATAAGGTCTGATTCCTTATCTAGAAAACATTTTTATGTTATTTGAATAAAGTTGAATGCAATATTAAAATATTGCAATATTTAATTATCTAAGTAAGCTACCTAAGTTTAACTTTGTGATTCCATTATAAAATATGCATCGTTTCTGTGCGATTTCTGGACCCGACAAGGACTCGCAAAGTTGTAAAAATTTCCTAGACAAATTCTGCCTGCAAAAATATTCAAGAAATAAGTGTGTAAATGTATTTTTGCATTTTTGCTGTATAAAAATAATACTTAAATCTTTCTTAACTCACTAACATTTTTCTACGATTAGTTATCCCATAATCTCTAGGAAACACCCATGCAGGTCTTTCAGAATCTTTCCTCTTTGGTAGTCTTTTTTGATGAGCATCAAATATATTCGAAGTATAAATTATCCTAAAATGACAAGAAATATTTTATATATATATATATATTTATTTATATATATATATAAAATTAAAATTAAATAATTTAATATACCTTTTTGCTATGTTGTCCACATGTTCCGGTAAATCTGGAAATAAATCTTGGATATAATTTGAAGAACTGTTCGACAGACATACAGTGTTCGTCAATGTCTGTGCTTGACGAAATCCTTCTTGCAAAACGTTATTATCCTTAAATACCAAGCAAGCTTTAGCTTTCCAGTCAGGATGCGTTTCGTCAAATACTATTGGTCTTGGCTTCAAAAATTCTATCTTTAACCTTGTATAAAATACAATTTATAATTAATATCTTATGCAGTTTAGAATTTGAAAAAAAATGCAAACTTTATAGAAAAAAAGTACTTTGAAAATTCCTGTTTTGGACTGATCACTTCTAAGGGATCCTTCACCTCAATTCCCAATTTCAACAATTGTCCTTCTGTTTTGGTATCACTCACTTTGCGTTCTCGTTTCACATACCACAATTTTTTAAGTTGTCTACCTATATGTTGCTTGTATAATACCCCCGTGAGCTTCATTGTTCTTTATTTGAAACAGGAAGATTAATAATATAATATTGGGTCATCTAAAAATATGACCATCAACACACATCTAGTGATAAAAAACCGCGGATACTTTTTAGATGACCCAATATAAACTTTGCAAAAATTTCGAGGTTATGCGGTTTATTAGAAAAGCTTCTCTTTTTATCAATATTAAATTTTTATCAAACTATATAAAAAATCGTATGATAATATTCGATATCGTAACTTACGATAAGAAGTAATGAAATCAAATTGTATGTAATACTTTTTTTAAATCTTCAATATATTTTCGGGGTAAAGCGTAACCTATCTTCCGGTTCGTAACATATCTACATGACAATCACAGATTTCTATATATATAGAAGTCTGTGGTTACAATAAAAGTTATATCGGTAATGTAGGATTCTTCTATCCTTGTTTTATGTCTACAAATGATAAAGCATAAAATGACATAAAAGCGTCTCCCCGAACTCCAAGGAAAAAATAATGTTGCCTAAAATGATCTTGACCTTTTTGATAATGAAGGTTATATTCGGATTGAGACTTGATATACATATAATGGAATTAGAAATTCTAATTAGTAAGCAAATATTTCTTTTATAAATTTTTCTAACGGATATCGAATTAGGACAAAACTAGAAGTCTTATTTCTATAAAAAATTATCACAAAGCCTTGGCAACTTCAGCAAAATACATACACTTTTTATAAAATATTTTTGTATTTAACATATGTGTACCCATTTTCATATAATGACATATCACCTCCATCCCTTTTTTGTACATATAAATATGATTATAGAAATAAGAAATATACAACAAATGTATATAGATTTAAATTAATTAGTTTTCTTCGCGGCAGCAGGATTAAGTATTTTCCGTCTTTGTGCAAACATGTGCAAGTAAAGTGGTGGAAAACCTGCAGTGAAAAATATAAGTAGTTATGAATAATTTCATAAATTCATAATTTCACGATTTATTTTTGTATCTACACGCTTTTTATATTCACCTGGAATGTAAAATAGCATAACTATTATCAGAAGATACAAATAGCTAAATGTGAAATTCCATTTGTTTGGTAGAACAAAACTCCAAGAATTAGGATTAGCGTTAGCGTATTTTGTGGCGGTATATAAACACAATAGTTCACCAGTAATGCCCAATGGATATAATATGATGAATGTAGTATATCTAAAAACATGTTTCCATTTAATGCGACTTATATATATGAAAGTAATTTTAGACTTAAAAAATGATAGAAGAGATTAAACTTACCTCAGCCAGACTAATACACGTGGCATAATACCAGAGATGAGATTTATGAAATAATAGGAATATCTAATGGTTTCTGTAATGGACCATGCGATGAGAGCTAGTGGAAGACCTAGAGACGAAGCAGCGTATGTGTAAGGAGTAACCAAAAGGACTCCGTTTACAACCATGATACGACTGAAGACTTGAACCAATGTGATTAAAACATTGGATGGTATCAGTCCAATTCCTGCATGTATTATCTGAAATAAGAAGTTTCTATATAATAAACGATGTATAATTGACACAACACTTTAGAGATAAATATACATAGAAGCTAGATAATACTTACAGTCTCTAATCTACTAAAATATTTCATGAAATTTATATCTCAGTGCTATGTTTGTCAATAATTTTAATTAAATTTTAGTCTTAATTTTAACAATTTTTTTATTATATAATAGTTTTTGTTATTTGATATATTTTCAGAAATTAATAAAAATAATTAATTATCTGCCTGCTTTATTATATTCAACCAAGTTCTAAGATTATTGAATACCTCCAATAGAGCTGCATTTTGAAAAATGATTACAGGTAGTTTGGTTTTATTCCACAAGGTACTATCTGAGGAGGAAGATTCAAGATAATATTGTATAATTTGATACAATAAGTAACTCCATCTGAAATAGAAGATTTATTCTCAAATTAATTTAAAAAGAAAAAATACACAAAGAAAACTTTATAATAAATTCTAGAACAGAGTAATAAAAAAGTTATACAATATATTGCATCAAAAAATTATTAATTATATAAAAAAAGTTCAGAGAATTTTGTGATTGTTCATTTTGTTATTTACAAGAGAAAACGTACCCCAAAGTCTGGCCGAGATTATACGACGCCAGATACAACTTCGAGAAAAAGCTTAGTTTCTTGGATTTCACTCCTGCCATTTTTATGTGGAAATTCGTTAAACGTTCTCAGATAATTCACGATGAACTAAATTTAAGCTGATACTCTTGCTCGATCCTAAAGAATGTAATCACTCTTTAATACATGCACACATGTAACCAAAAAAAATATAACAAAAAAAACCTTAATCATGCGCCTTCGAACATTATATAATTATTTATAAAAAAGAAAATTGCGAGGTAAACATGGCAAGCATTTTGAATTGCAACTCACTCAGCGATTTTTTATTCTGCAATGATATACATATTTTTAGTGGAACAGAGTCGAGTGATCGACGTGAACGATGAATTTATAAATTCCGCACTCCCACCAAAACATCAATTCCCACTTCTCTCAGGATCGATCTCAAAACACACAGTCACACATAATTTATAACTCCGATTCCGACTAAAGGTGTGAGCACAAGAATTATCGTAACACTTACTTAAAGACTTAAATTGTAGACGTAAAAAACGCACAAGTTTGGCGTATTTATTGCCGTCTCTTGGAGATGACAATAAGTTGTACGTCATAGCTTATAATAAGTGAAAGCTTGTGTGTTACTACATCTACAATTTAAGTCTAATTAAGGGGCTCTGCACAATAAAAGGAACAGGGAACAGAGAATAGAGAATAAGAATTTCAACCTATCAGAAACTGTGTATTCCCCAATACATGATTTCTGATAAGTTAAAATTCTTATTCTTTATTCTCTGTTCCCTGTTCCTTTTATTGTGCGGAGCCCCTAAGTGTTACGACAATTCTTGTGCTCAAACCCTTAAGTCGGCCGATTAAACTTCAGAATTGCCAACTGCAAAATTGGATCTTTTTTCCTCTCGCTCTAAATGCTTCGTGATCTTTTTGCATTCGAGATTTATAATTTTAACTATTATACAATTTTTATATCTTCATTATTGGCTGTGTTCAGCAGAACACAACAATTTTGCAACTATTTAATGATTGTTTGCCGAGATAGGATCATTCTTTTTAGATCTAAAAGTATAATCCAATCAGCGCGAAGAAAAAACTTCCAAGTTGCAAAATAAACGTCCTTTTTATAAACCCTACAATATGCTCTTTGTTTTCTGTTCCTTATTTTTTACCTTTTGCTTTTTTTCTTTTGCAACTGTTTTATCAACAATATTTTTTGCTACGTAATAAATTTCTTGTTTTTTTCGAAATTTCAATAAGTTTTATCTCGAGCGATATAAAACATAAACCGGATAAGAAGTAAAAAGATAAGTTGTAAAAAATAACAAAAGATAAGAAACAAGAAACAAAAAACACATTGTAGAAACAGACTTAAATGTTTCTAAATGGCTTTAAATGTTTTTTCTTTCCCAGACTTATATATTTATTTTTTGTATTTATATATTGATTAAAATATAAAGAGCGTGTTCAGTTCTGAGAAAGGACGTAAGTAGAATAGAACTTTATTACTTCAGCTTAATGAGGACGCAAGTATTGACTTTTTGTTTAATAAAAAAAAGTTAATTTCAGCATAACAGAATTATAGTAAAAAATTTTAATTTAAGCAATTTCATTAAGTTAAGTAGCCAATTTTATAGTTAATCGAAAATGATTAACTATGTAGCATTGGTAGCGTTTAACATTCGTCAAAGTTAGATTAATTATTATGTTTGAGGGGATTCGATTCTCGAGTGGCACCAAATTTTTCTTGGAATTTAGAGAACGTATGTAATGTGTAAATTTCAAATTTTATCATAATATTATTATAATGAATGCAATCTCAATTTTAATCTCTGCTGATGGTTTGCCACTAGGCTGGAGTGAACGTAATTCTTGCTTGTGTATCATCTTTAACTTTTCAAAGTTTCTGCGAAGTTCAACTTGTGCATTTAATTTCATTATAAATGTAAAAGTCAGAGGTATCTTGTTACTGGCAATTTTTAATTCCCGCGTATGGAAAAAAGTTACTATTGCGCGGCAGGATATTCCGCTGCAGATGCTTAAGGTCCTTATTAAATGTAGATATGCTTCTTCTTCTGAAATTAACAACGAATACTTAAGGGTTCTTTTTTTTATCTGATTAATTTACTTAGTGTAACTATTAATTTTTTTATTTAGTTTACATTGTTCACTTCGGCCTAGCAGCAAGCTATTATAGAGATTGCAATTGAGATTGCATTCTGTTATTCACTACGAGAAAATTAAAAATTTACGTTACAAATACTTTACAAAACCTTACAAATTTTAATTATAGAGAAAAGTTTGGTTGGTGATTGAAAACAGAACTATCCCTACATTAACTTAACTTCGACGAATATATCTCTCTGGTTAAGGGGATTCTAAAGCCTCCTGTTTTACCGATTAAATCATGTAATTTTTTAACAAATACTTTTTTTACTTTCACCGATTCGAAAATCCTTCTCCAGGATTAAAGTATATGCATTAATACGTGTCTGAGAAGTGGAGTCTATGCCTAGAACGATCAAAAAATTCAAAATTGATATATTTTTTATTGTTTCTTATAATGAAATATGGAATATATCTCAGCTGTCAAGTCGTGACAACATTTACTTGAAATGATTGCTTTGCAACCTGCACGTATGAAATAGTGGTTCCCAAACACGTAGTTTACATGAACAAATAACGTCGAATTCTTAGAATTAGACTTAGACGCTTTATGGCGACGAATTTGTTATACGAAAATTGATACGAATGTGGCACGACCTCTAATGACTTTGTCGGAGTTCGAGCTTCGCTTTAGGATCCTCTTAAACGCTATCAACGCTACGCTATCGTTCATGGAGTTTGCTAATGCTATCGCGCTATTGGCTCCAAGAATAGCGTTCATAGCGTTTACGTTCAGCGCGAATAGCACCTCCCCGAACGCACCGAGTCGTATCCAGTCGTATCGTTAAGCGGAGAACACAGATTCTTGCATAACGCATAAAACATGAGGCATAAAAAAATCAATCCATCAGAGTCCTCTATTTCATGGAAAAGAAGGAAACGAAGGACTTTGATTGGTATATTTTTTTAGGCCGGAATCAACTACGCATTGAATGAGATTGAAGATTGAAGTTTGACCAATCAGACTAAAACTTCGTTGTCCTTGGTGAAATTTCAATCTTTAATCTTTAATCTCAATCTTCAATGCATAATTTGATTCCGCCTTAATGTAGAACTAACTTTATGCGCTATGCAAGAGTCTGGTACTTCTCAGTTTACTCGCGTCAACTCGCGTCGCGATGATCGCAAGTTGCAAGTAGCTTTGTTTTTGTTTGGGAGTTTGCATGAGTAAATTGCACGCTACGCGATCGAATCATACTACCAAGAGACAAGAGCGAATGAGAGATAGTGAGATAAAAAGTGAGATAAGGGAAACGACAATCTCTTCTCGAAGAGATAAAAACGTGTTTACATATCATTACGTATACTCGACGACTTTAATTTTACAAATATCTCGCGAGAGACACTTATTCGAAGAGTACGAAATTCACACGAATGAACTCTGCAAATTGTCGCAAATTGATTCGAGTGAGCGGGGAAGAATGACGTGTTCCGCCAGGATTTTCACTGCGCGAATTATCACATTTGACATAATTAACGTCATGCATTTTTCGATAGTTAGCTGTGGTCGTGATTTATGAAGTAATAATCTTATCTCTGAGGTAACGCAGTAAAAGACACGCGATAAACACCCTGCCTAAATCCTCTCGCTCTTGTATATAGCAAAATAAGCGTGAAGGGAATTCTCAAAAGCACGTGATCCTGCGTGGTGGAAAGTTAACGTCAAGATGCATCGTATTGTCGAATTGGTCGCAAATAGCGTTTTGCTGTGGATTTTCTTCCAAACCGCGATGAGTGTGCTGGTCACCATCCTGTATGAGTTTTGCATTCCCTGGATCGTTTGGGGCTCAATGATTGTCATAGTAGCATTGAAATTGGCCCGAGTGTCCCCTCCGCCCACCAGCACTATACAAGAGGTGCTTGGCGTGAATCCGCTCCTCCTGAGCAAAGATAACTCCGTGTCCGAAAACCACGGTAATGGAGAACAATATTGCATGCGAGTGGTGGCCCACCGTGGTGGAGGATATGATTATCCTGAGAACAGTTTGTCGGCTTTCCGAAATGTAAAGTTACACCCTTCGATGTAGCTTAACTTTTACAATGTCTAAGATTTTTGTAGTAGTTAGTCTTTTGTGTGTCTTGATCTTATTGGCTTGTTTAACATTTATTATTGCTTGATAATGTAAGGAAGAAGGAACTAAAAATGTATAATAATGCATTGTTCTATTTAATTATTAAATATTTCTTGTAACTTAAACATACTAATTTTTTTTTTACTTATTGTCTGACAAGCATGTTTATTTTAGATGTATTTTGTGGTGCATCATCTAAACTTTTTACAGAGTAGAAGAAAGGGTTGTAATGCAGTGGAGCTTGATTTACGTCTAACAAAGGATAACATTCCAATATTATTCCATGATTCAACAATTGAAAGACTCACAGGCCAGACAGGAACGATTAGTGAAATGACATGGGAAGAATTGAGGGAATTTGATATAACTTATAATCACCCACTTAAGTACGATTATATGTATTTCAGCTTAATCATAATCTTTTGTATAAAATACATGTCTATAATGTTTCTCAGAGTATTTTAACAGAGAAAATAATTATTTTGCCAAAGGAATAAATTTTCCGAAGGCGAGAGGATCGCATTGTTAGACGATGTATTGCAAGAATGTCTGACCACTGAGCAAAGAATAATTATAGATATAAAAGAGACAAGGCTGGATGTCGTGCAAGTTATTCTAGACACCTACAAAAAATACCCAAAACTGTTCCAGAGAGGCGTCGTGTCGAGTTTCAATCCAATCGTAGTATACATGGTATGTGTAATACAAACGTTGATTAATATAACTTAAATTATATATCTTAAATTATATATACTTCGACTGTGAATATATTTTTAATTTTATATTCAGATTAGGAAGAAAGAGCCGCGTATTGTTTCGAGTCTCGCTTGGAGGCCGTATTTTTTTTCAAGAGTATCGTACATCGGTCTAGAAGCATCCGGCCCAGTACGATATCATAATCTGTTTAAGCATTTGGCAGCTTGTATCTTGGAAATTTTGTACGAATGGCTGCTACCGAGCTTTGTCTACTATATGATTGGCATTTCCGTCGTGTTGTTGCACAAGGACATTGTAAACCCGTAAGTAATGTTATTATATAACTCAAATTTTCATTTTATATATATATATA